GCGGGGCCGGGGAAGAGGGCGTCCGCATACCAGCTACTTTCCCACATACTGACTTTAAAGGGGAGGAAAACCGGGAAGCTTTCTACATTTTACGGGGCGAGGGCAGGGCGCTGTGATCGCGGGGGACGGAGAACGGCCGGGCTAGTTGATGATGGTGCAGCATGCAATTTCTGAATTAGTGCAAGGATGAAGGATGTTTGATAGTTCAACAAAGAAAGTGACATAGAGTCAGTGAGTTTGGCTCAATGGGACCACATTTTTGAAGGTATCTCTTGCTTGAAATTGGTGTCCAGGCATGCTCAATCCCCTTAATGAGTCTCTCCAATCAATGAGCAGGCCTGCAGGTACAACTTTGGAAAGTCCTAGTGAGTACAACCCTTAAAAGCAGTCTTCACACTCAGTCTTCCATTTTCCACTCCTGTCCTATTTTTCTTCCAAGTCTCTTAATACTTCAACAGAAAATGCCGTTTGTCTTCATCCAGGCTTTAGCTCTAGATTTCCATGTTCTGGAACCCTTGGCCAGAGCGAGCCCCCTCGGGGGCGCCCGGTTCGGCGGAACCGCCCCGGAAAGGGGAATCCCGGGGACCCGCGGGATCTCGGGCGAGCCTGCCTCTCCGGATCGGAGCAAGGGACTGGCTTCCCATCACGACCAAGTTTTTCCACCATTGTGAACAATGACAAATCCAGCCGTTCCCCGACACGGGGATGTGTTATTGGCATGAGGACCCAATGTGTAATCATTAATTTTTTTTAAAAAAATAGGTGATAATTCATAAAGGGCTCGAAGACTTTTTTTTTTTTTTACATTTGAACGTCCCTAAGTAAACACTACCTAGACCGAGACATAAGACGTTAGAATCCAGGTATTATGAAAGAGATGTCAAGTTCATCCCTCTTTAATAAGTGATTTTTATCCTTAATCTCCTGCTGTTTTTTTTCTTTTATAAATTTTTCTCTTCATCTCTAAAGCATCTTTTAGAGCTTAATCAGGCGCCGTTAAACCTAATAACAAGATGCTAACTCCAGGGCATCACGTGTTTGCTTTTTATTTATTGTGGACAGCAAGGAATTGCATGCTCTCTGTCATTTCGGTTTCTCGCCGTTGAGGCCTGACCTCGGAGTGGAAACCGTTTCCTAGCTGGTCTGTTGATGCAGAAAATAAATAAATACATAAGAGGATGAGGTAGAAGAAAGATTGAGTGTTTCTGAAGAGCCTGTAGTAGTAGGCAGGTTGCAATGTAGCTACTTTGGGAGGCCCGGTAAACGTGCAGGAATTAGCTTGTGTTGTAGTTTTTTTAGCAGTTACTTTTCTTTCTAGTCTTCTGGTGGCAGTGTTGCTTTAAAATACCGGCCCAAAGCTCCCATGGGTGAAGTGAAGTATTCTTGGTAATGTATGTTATCCAGTGAAAAAACTGTCCTCGTAGAGAAGAAAGGCATGCTCTGCGGTTATTATGAAGATGTAATAGTGAAATTTGTGTGAGTTTTGGGAAGGATTGACTTTTACAGGAAAATAAACAGTTTGAAAATTACTACCTTGATGCTCCATTACGAGCTATCTCTCCTTTTTAACTTTGGAAAAAAAGTTAATATTAATTGTATAGATTACGACTGTTTGGAGACTATCCTTATTTCTTTGGAAGAAACAAGCCATATTTACTTACACTTTAAGAAGGGCACATCAACACTAAGATCATTGATTTCATGTTGCAGCATAGGCCGTTACAGAAAGTCAACTCTTTGGCAATGCCAGGGAATTCGGAACTCAGTGCAAAGAGGAGACACGATTGTCACACGGTCGTTTCATTGACTTGTACCAAGGAAAGGAGACGGGATTCATGTCCAGAGCTCTGCCTCTTGGAAGGGAGCCTTAGCCTTTGCTTAAATACACTTCTTTGGTCATTTACATGTTGATTTCTCTGTGGTTGGCTGCACTTATGCCCCTTAGGTTCCTGTCAAACTTACCTTGTTTACAGCTGTCCCTGCAAAATGCTCTGCTACATTTTAACCTTTAGGAGGAATAACATTTAGTAATAGCCTAGCCTTTAGAACACCTCAGGCCTTGAGACCCTTGTCCTAACCAACTTCATAATGCTGACTCCCTTTCTTTAGTGTTTGCTGGCAGGGGGTCAGGTCACCTTTCAGATGTACAGTCAGGGAATAGCCCTTGAGCAGTCACATCTCTTGGAAACTCTCTTGGCTTCTAGGATACCACAGTACCTCAATTTTTCTTTAAGTCTCTTATGCACCACTTCACTCAAGTGCTGTGTTTTTCCTTCAACTGGTGTTCAAGAGTTAGAACCCATCAGGCGCCTGACCCAAGTTCTCATCTTTTTACAACAGTGTCTCTCCATGCTCCTCACTAGATACTGTTGCTTGAGACAGTTTCAGCAATCAGAAGAGACATGCCTCAGTCTCCTACAGTCTTATCTACACACTTCCTTGTAGCTGTGCCCATAATATTCTATTTTCTTCTGTTACAATGCACAAATTGTCTCTCTTTCTTATACCAATCCCTCCACATGCATATTAGATCCTATGCCCTCTTGCCTACTCAAAGACATTATTAATTCACCAATTCTGCTCCCTCCTTCCAGAATCGTTAGTTCTCTCCTTTCTTCAGAATGCTGTATAGAAGCTTTTCTGACATTGTCAGAGAGAGGACATTCTAATTAGTTTATTTATAAACTTAGTTGCTTCAAATTAGGTCATCATTTTTTACTCATGATACAATAAAACATTTCTCTTGGGAAAAGTGTGTCAGAATTTTTTAACATACACACAAATAGACAGCTGTAGTTAAATTTTAAATTATGCTGAACAAAATAAAATTTTTCTTTGGATTTGATAGCACCTCAGAATTTGTGTGTCTTAACTGTCATCGCGTCAATCAATTGGAAGTGACTATACTATGTGCTGGGTGTTCTAGATACTGATGATCCAGCTGTGTACAAGACACAATATTCATTCAGCCTCATTTTGATATTTATTGAAGACCTACCATGTGCAGCACTCAGTCTTCTGGGTACTTCTGATACAATTGGGGGGGGGGGGGAATGACAGAAATCCTTGCCTTTATGGATGTAGATTTTAGTGGGGGAGAAGAATATAAACAAGATAGATAATAAAATAAGTATCTTAGAAGGTGATATTTACTTTCGAGAAAAGCAGTGACGAGAATAGGAAGTCTTGGGCAGGATGCAGATGTTTGAATTTTAAATAGCTGGTCACTGAAGACCTCATGAGAGGGTGACTTAAATGAGATTGGAGGTGAGATCCCTGCTGTCATGGAGATCCTATTAGAAAGAAGAAGATGGATGAGTATACAAATTAGATAATTTCAGGTAACAAGTGCTTCTAAATCAACTGATGTGAAAAGAATGAGGGTGTGGTGAGACTATTTTGTGTTGTCAAAGAAGTTAGGTGAAATTTGATTATGACATGAAAGAAATATTGGGGTGAAATATAGGCAGAGAAAACTGCAAATGCAGAGGCCCTAGTACTGTTAAACATATAGAAGGCCAGCATGGCTAGAGCTTACAAATGAGTGAGATGTTAAGAGAATGAAGTTGGGGAGGCAGGTGGAAAGAGATTTATAAGATTTTATTCTAAATCAGTGGGGAGTTCTATGTAGAGGGGTGGCTCCTTTGTGGAGAGTGGACTCTGAAAAGGAGCAGCAGGAGAAGCAGAGAGATGATGGTGGCCAAGGCTGGCTTGGTCACATTGGTAATGATGAGAAGTAGAAGATTTGGAATATGATTGGGGATAGGATAGGACCTCCCATTGTAATGAGAGAATTAGGGTGGGGGTTGAGAGAATTAGGAATAATTGCTTTGCTTGTGCACCAATAGAGGGTGCTGTTTATTGAAATGGAGAGGTCAGTCTTGGAGATTAAAAATATGGAAATAAGTATGTGTACACACACACACACACACACACAGGCATTTGACTTTTGCTAAGAACAGTCCTTTGATTTCAGGAGTCCCCAAAATTTAAAATGGTACTATGACAATAAAATGTCCTTTAAAGTGCAATTAAATATAATAACCACCATTTAAAGAGTCCTTAGCATCAGGCACTATCTCAGAGTGGTTTATATGCATTACCTCATTTTAATCTTTAAGGTGGCCTTATAAAGGCAGTACTATTATTTTCCTGATTTTGTAGAAAAGCTGTATTTTGCTTTAGGTCACAGACCTGGTAAATTATTGGAGGAGTACTTAAACCTAGGGAGATGAGAATTTTCCTTCTCCTTTTCCTTTTCTGTCCTTATATAAACCTCTTCAGTATCCTTTTATTTGTCAGCTCTATTTTCACTTTTATTGCCTATCTGCAACTATAAACAGTAAGTTGATTCTAAAAAAAATGGAGAAAATAATAAATAGCATTTATATTATAACTGTCGAGTGCTAGGCTAAGTAATGTGCTAGGATTTCAAGTCTTGTTTTTGGAATCCGAAATCACAGCCCCTTTACCTTTTGAAGGATGATACTTTCCAGTGTCGGCATCACCTTGATAGTATCCTATATGATAAAAGGCTAATATGGAAATGGACCAAACGGTGGAACAACTGGTCGCTATGATGCACACTGACCACCAGGGGCAGACGCTCAACACAGGAGCTGCCCCCTGGTGGTCAGTGCACTCCCACAGGGGGAGCGCTGCTCACCCAGAAGCCAGGCTCACAGCTGGTGAGCACAGTGGCAGTGGCTGGAGCCTCTCCCATCTCCATGGCAGCCTTAAGGATGTCAGACTGATGGCTTAGGCCCGCTCCCTGCGCAGGAGTGGGCCTAAGCTGTCAATTGGACATCCCCCGAGGGCTTCTGGACTGCGAGAGGGTGCAGGCTGGGCTGAGGGACCCCCCTGCCCCTGTCTCCCCAAGTGCACAAATTTTGTGCACCAGGCCTCTAGTATATTATATGAAGGTTTTTGTATGTCGACAATTGTAAACTGGTATTAAAGTATGCATAGGTAATTTGTATTCATTAAAAATTTTTTTCCGTCTGTAGATATCATTAATGGGATTGGAAATTTTAAGTGCCTTTGTGGACAGATTATCAACACGATTTAAGTCCTATGTAGCAATGGGTAAGTTAACTTTATTTATTTAAAAATCATTGTAGGCCCAGCTGGTGTGGCTCAGTGGTTGAGTGTTGACCTATGAACTAGGAGGTCACGGTTCAATTCCCAGTCAGGGCACATGCCTGCGTTGTGGGCTTGATCCCCGGTGTGAGGGGTGCATGAGGTAGCTAGCTAATCAGTGATTCTCTCTTATCATTGATGTTTCTATGTCTCTCTCCCTCTCCCTTCCTCTCTGAAATCAATAAAAATAATTTTTTTTAAATAAAATAAAAATTATTGTAGGTTTTGACATACTGGGTTTTTTTCATAGTTTTTGTTTAACAAAACTTTAAATGCAAAAAATGTAATTTTGTACAACTCGGAGATCTGCTAAGTAGCATTATAGTTTACCTGGACATAAAAAACTTGAAGCATATTCAAATAGATAAGTATATTCCTTTTGAGACAAAGAAACAGAAGCAAGAAGCTCACTAAGTATAGTGGTAATAGATTTTTACTCTATATTTTCAAAATTTTTACTATATTTTTACTCTTTTTGTAACATATTAAACTTTATAATATAACTTATAGCACCACTTTTCAAGCTTTCTATGGTGAAGGACTAGTTCTTTCCTTGCTCGTTTGTTGCAGACCAATTTTGTAAAATGCAATAAAAATAGGTTATAGCAAAATGAAATGAAAAAATACAAGGCTAAATTTGTTTTTATTAGATTTAACAAACAAAATTATTTGGTCAGATTGTTTTAAAAACTTTATTTTATAAACACTCTCAATTTTTCTTACTGCAAACAATTTGTAGACTGGTCCAGGCTACCAGCCATACTTTGAACAGCACTTACTTACAGTGTGTTTGCAAAGAAGAGCATTATAACAGTACAATGCTCTTCTTTGTGTGGTAGTTAGGATTACAGAGTTGGCTCTGACCTATTTTCTAAACCTGAGTGACCTTCATATACCTTTGGAGTGCTTTGGTGAGTGGATTTCGTTCCTATTATATAGAAACATTTAAGGGTAACCTCAGATGTTTGTTAATCTCTCCTATGGATTAAGTGAATGTCTCATAACGTATCATCACACTTATTTTTGAATTATCTTTGGTCAGCTTTTTTCTTCATGTTTTGTGTGCCATCAAATTCTGCCAGTTTCCACTTTTATTTTTATCGTCTAGCTATCCTTTCAGCAGAAGCATCTTAGTGAGTTTCCCTATCTTTATTGTTCCTTTTTAAATTAATTCCTGGTTCCAGTTCATTCTCTGTGGGGTATCTTCTGAAAAGATTTTTTTTTTTTACTACATCAGTCTCCTGCTTAAAATCCTAGGATAGGTTTTTAAATCTTTGCTCTGTGAACATGTTTTAGTTATGTATTTTCTTAAAACATATTGAATCAATGTTTAACATTAGGAAGTTTTACATAAAAAATCATATTTATGATTTGTTTATGAAAGATTGGCCAATGTGGCAACCCCGACCTTGTATTCCCACATTATTGGTTGAAGCTGTGTTGTAGCTTCCCTTTTGTCTGGATCATGAGCTTTTCAGTTCCTAAGTCCTTCCCATCTCCTCTTGTCTCCTCAAAACTGAGAATGTCAGTTATAATACAGCAAGGTGGGACTACTGTAGTTCTTAGGTCTGGTTCATTTTCTGTATTTCCCATACCTCTTTGGCTGTAGGTGTTTATGTTTGTGACCCCTGCCCTATAGTAGCTCCTATTATTAGTTGTTACAGACAGTAGTTAGACTTGAGAGTAATTCTAGGCATTACATATATCACTTATTTTTCAGACGCAAAGAGGGCCAGATGGGGTTTAATGTACTGACTGGTCACATTGAGGCAGTGGGATTAAATGAGATAATTCAGTTCTTAGTATATAATTATATCTAACGTGAAGGTTTATTATTGTCCTGGACTGCCTCTCAGACGCTATCAGAACCAGAGTCCCACAATAGCTAATTCTACAGATGTTGATGAATTTCTCTAGTGTTAACAATACATCTAAGCAAGATGAGAAGGATTTACATTGTTCCAATTGTCAGGTACTTGTGTTGCCTCATGATTAGGCTTATGATTATAATGGGGACTTCTTGTTTTATTACACAATCATTTCCTTAATTAAGCTTAAACATTGGAATGGCATCACTCCATTTGGTATAGTTGGCTTCTCACTCTAATCATTTCCTACCAAAAGGAATGTAATTTCTTTTCTCAAGTGTTGTTGAGCTTGCTTTTCAGTTATATTTTATTAGAGTCATGAATAAAGAAGTAAAAACAGCCCTAGCAGGTTTGGCTCAGTGGATAGAGCATTGCCTGTGGACTGAAGGGTCCCAGGTTTGATTCCGGCCAAGGGCACATGCCTGGGTTGCGAGCTCAATCCCCAGTAGGGGATGTGCTGGAGGCTGCCAATCAATGATTCTCATCATTTTTGTTTCTCTCTCTCTCTCTCTCTCCCTCCCTCTCCCTTCCTCTCTGAAATCAATAAAGAAATATATATATATATTTTTAAAGAAGTGAAAACAATTTGCGTACTTCATAACTTTTAACTTATGAAAACAATTACTATTTGTAATTTTGTAAAATATAGCTTATTTATTATTTTTCCTCTCTCTCTAGTTATTGTAGCTTTAATAGACAGACTGGGAGATGCCAAAGACAAAATTCGTGATGAAGCTCAGATTCTGCTCTTGAAGTTAATGGACCAAGTAGCACCACCGATGGTAGGCCTACATTTAAAATTCCTATTTTGCTAATTATTGATGAAATATCAGTAAGGATATATGGTAATCACAGCATCTCAGTCCCCAGGGGAAATGAAAGCTGAAATTTTAAACAATTAATTGTTGCTAGTGCTTTAAAGAAGTTGAAATTTAAGATTAAATATCTATATTTAACTTTTTGTTTTGTTTTTTACTCAAATGCTTTTTTAGAAAGCTAACTTGGAGATTTTAGTGACCTGACAGTATACTGATAATATTATTTTTTAGGATTTTTAGTTTTTCCTTACCTGCATTAATATAAAATGTTCAGTGCAGAAGCTTATCTTGAGAAATACTGAATGTTATGTTAATTTCTGCAATTCTTACAAAGACAGGAAGAAATTTTTTTATTTTAACAACTAGTTGCTAATTGTATAAGGTATATTGTTTATGACAGTGACCTGTATTTTATGAATACAGTAAAAAAAATTGCCCTTATGTGTAATTGTTTTGAAAGAAGCAGAAATTAGTTGACATGTACACAAACATTTAAAGAGTAGCCCATGTTAAGTAGACAAAGATCAGAATTTGCAATACACATAATGATATTACGTATTATCATGTAAAATACTGTTTAAAAATTATAATATTACATGATTCATTAAAAAACCAAGGAGTATTTCTTTGTAAAAGTAAACTGTTTTCCCAGATTGAACCAAAGTCCTTGTTAATAGTATGGTGGATATCCTTCAATCCTTGTTCAGTGGTTCAAATTTTAACTTGTTTTTGACGCTATTATCACAAATAGTACTATAGGAAACATCCTTGTACATGTATCTTTGGACATAACTGTAAGTATACATATAGAATAATGTTCCAGAGGTGGTGTTATAGAGTCAGGTTTGTTTTGTTTTGTAAGCTTCCAGGTTACCTTCTAGAAAGTTGAACAGAGAGTGAGCGAGAGAAGAGAGAAATATATTAGTAGAACTGAATACAGAGTTCAGAAAGAATAGAGCCCAAGGAAAGGTGTGTGTGTGTGTACACACTTGAATAAATTATATTTCTAAATGTGGAGAAAGAATTGATTGGGACAATTGGCCATATAGCTGGAAAATAAAGTTGGGTTTCTTTTTATACCAAACTCATGTAATTGTTTTGGATTATTTGTATAGGTTTATCTATGCTTTTTCTAAAATAAATTATAGTGGTTAGCAATAAAATGACTTGCTCAAATATGTTTCTGTATTTGGATCCAATCTTAAAAGAAGAAAAGCTTGAATTCTAAAATGTTGAAAAAGCCTGTTCCATGTGACAGTCTGTAGTAGTTGCTAGGCAACATTGGACCTTTTAAATGCTTACTGGACTATTGGACTTATAATGGTAGCATTGTTGTTGAAGATTTCTAAAGTTTAGAACAAATTCTGTCCTTGGAAATTCTAATGGTTTTGGATGTTGGACATAGTTTTTCTGAGAATAATTTAATTCTAAAGTGAAATATATGAAATAAAAAGTAAAAATGTAATTAAGATATTAAAAATTGGGTGAGAGCAACATCAGTGAAAATTTGGCTTAGAAAAACTTGTAGAGAGTGAATAGTCTAAGGAGGAAATTCATTTACCAATAAGATTGGTAAGTTTGAGAATAGATAAAATATTTTAACATGAGTAATTTAATATTTTGTTATACATGTTTACTTTTCTTTCAAATAGCACATTTGGGAACAGCTGGCTTCTGGTTTTAAGCACAAGAATTTTCGATCTCGAGAAGGCGTGTGTCTGTGTCTTATTGAAACCTTAAACATGTAAGTTTTATGATTACTGCAAACAGCCGCCTGTGTTTTTCATTTTTCTTAAAAAAGTAATATCCATTTCACAGAGCTCGAGGAGAGCTATGGAAATAAATTTTAAGTAGTTATTAACTGATCTCTAGTACAAGAGTTTTTATTTGATTTGATACCTTTGTTAATTTTTTGTTATCTTTCAGGTTGTTAATTTAAAATTATTAGTTATAAGAAGTGTTTTTCTTTTTTTTCTTTAGCATATTAATAGTTGCTCCCCAAAGTAGATGGTAATATAGCAAATATGTTTATATAACTTAGGATCTACTTCTGTTCTGGACCTAGTTTGGAACTGGTTTTCACTCAGTGGTATTTCAGATATTGTAGCCATTTCCCCACCTGGGCTTTCTAGAACAGTGGGGGTGGTTTTGAAAATCATAGACTGAACAAGACTCCCAGGTAACTGGACAGTGAATCTGGTAGCTGTGTGCAGAGTTCTGACAGCATAGATGCCACAGGGCTCAGAGCTCCACTCTGAAGAAATTGTAAAGTGTAGTTTTGTTCTCTTTCTGGATTATTTTTTTAAGTTCTGTGCAACAAGATAGGTAATATATAATAGCTTTCAACTTTTCCTGTAATGTTACTTCCTTTCCTCTAACTATACCTTCATTTATTTTCTTTTATTCCTCTATGGTCCTTTCTGCCATCTAGAGCTTGTAAGTGCATTCAGTCTGCACAACTTTTGTGTTTTTTGGCTCTCCTGTCATTTGCTTTCAACCCATGACCTCACCAAAAATTAATACGTAAATATTTTATTGGAATGCAAATTTGAGATCCAGAGTCTAAAAAAAATCACTATTTTCAAACAAAAGCTCAAATTTTCTTCAGTCATTGAGAGTTTGCCCGGTTTAAGAGTGCCATTGGTTGAACATTTTGCTCTGTTGGATCTTGTATTGACAATTTCATTGTTAGTCATGATTACTCAAGTTTGCATATTTGACATTGTTTAGAATTAGTTTTTGCTTGTGTCTCATACCTTCATGTTTTAATGATGTGTGCCCATGCTCTCTACCATATCTGTCTTATTAATATAGACAAGAAGAAAGCAGAGTATATTTGTTTACTGTTTGATTAAAACCAAATTCTCTTTATTTTTTCAAATTATATTTAGTTTTGGAGCTCAACCACTAGTCCTCAGCAAGTTGGTACCACATTTGTGTATCCTATTTGGAGATTCCAACAGTCAGGTAAAATTTTATTTACATATTTAAGTGTTGACTAATTTTTTGGCTACAGCTTCTTTGTTAGTGCTCTCAGTCGATATTATTTTTATTTTTAAATTTATCTTTATTATTGAAAGTATTACAGATGTCCCCTTTTTAGTCTATTTTAAAAAGAAAAAGAAGAAGAGAGAGGGTAGAAAGGGGTTAGTGAAGATTTCACCTCATTTTTAAAATTTAAAATCCACCAAAGTTAGTTTTTAAGAACATATATTCACTTAAGTTGCTTAAGTTTGTTAGTTGTTAGCTAGTATTAAGGATAGATTGGACTTTTAAAGCATAATCCTTTTTTTTCTTTTTCTTTTTTAATTTTCATGTCAGGATAAGTTTTTCATTGATTCTAGAGAGCGGGAGAGAGAGAAGAAATCACCCATCAGTTGCCTTTTGTACGCACCGGAACTGGGATTGATCCTGCAACGTGGGGTGTGCCCTGACTAAGGATCAAGTCCTTGACTCTTTGGTGCTTGGAACAATGCCCCAACCCACTGAGCCACACTGTCCAGGGCTCAACTATAGCTCTTGAGTCTGAAAAATTGAGTAACAAGTAACTTGGATTCCCTTCTGTGGTCCTGGGTATTAATTGTGAGAGCAGGTTGTCAGCTTCCTTTGTTTCTGAGTGGCATAACAGCGACTTTTTTGCAACAGTCAAAACCATATTTAACAGGGAATTTGTGCCAGTGGTGTATCACTTGTTAGACATTTTACTGAGCTTCATTTACTGTAGGCATAATATAGGGATATGTTCTGGATCCCATCCCTTCGAGTAGAGTTGAATCTTAGTTGTAACCTTTTTGGCACAGCCTGTGCATTTGGAAATACCCTGCATAAGGATTTCCCTGCTTTTAGTCCCTGGCTAGCTGCTCCTCTGGAGGTTTGTAAGAAGTTCTGTCTCTTCATTTGCTCTCAGACAGTGAACTCTGCAGGGAAATTAGAGCTAGCTGTCTTCCAAATTCCCGTCTTTAGGCCACATTTTTTCTCTTTTAATTGTGGTAAAATATACACAACATAAAATTTACTATTTCAACCATTTTAAAGTGTACAGTTTATTGGCATTAAGTACACTCATTGTTGTGCAGCCATCACCACCATCCATCTCCAGAACTTTTTCATTTTACCAAATAGAAACTGTCTTCCCATTAAACAGTAACTTCCCATCCCCTCCAACTCCTCAGTTCCTCACAATTATATTTTACTTTCTCTCCATAGGAATTTGACTATTCTAGGTAACTTCATAAAAGTGGAACCATATAATATTTGTACTTTTGCATCTAGCATATTTTACTTAGTATAATGTCTTCAGGGTTCATTCATGTTGCAGCATGTGTCAGAATTTCCTTTTTAAGCCCTGACCGGTTTGGCTCAGTGGATAGAGTGTCGGCCTGGGGACTGAAGGATCCCAGGTTCGATTCCATTCAAGGGCATGTACATTGGTTGCAGGCACATCCCCAGTACGGGGTGTGCAGGAGGTAGCTGATCGATGTTTCTCTCATCGATGTTTCTAACTCTCTATCCTTCTCCCTTCCTCTCTGTAAAAAATCAATAAAATATATTTTTAAAAAATAAAAGCTATAAAAAGCATGTCTTCAGTTGAGAAAAAAATATTTTAAAAAAAAAGAATTTCCTTTTTAAGACTGAATACTATTTCATTATATGTATATACCATTTTTTAAAATCCATTCATTCATGCATGGATATGTGGGTTATTTCCACTTTTTGGCTATTTTGAATAATGATATTGAGAACATTGGTGTATAAATATCTGTTTGTGCTCAGGCCCTATTCTTTTTTGTTGTTGTTAATCCTCACCCAAGAACATTTTTTCCATTGATTTTTAGAGAGAGTGGAAGGGAGGGGGAGAAGAGAAACATCAATGTGAGAGAGACATATCAATTGGTTGCCTCCCACACCTGCCCAAAGGGGACTGAGGATTGAGCCTACAACTGAGCTACATGCCCTTGAATGGAATGGAATCCACAACCCTTCAGTCTGCGGGCCGACACTAACCACTAAACCAAACTAGCTAGGATCAGGCCACATTCTTGAAAGGCAGGAAAATGTATTAACCGTGGCAATGATTTGTATTCATTATTGGCATTGCTTATACAATCTTATTACAAAAAGAAGACTTTTTAAAAGCACTTTAATAACTTTTATTTACATGTTTTTTAGATTTTTGTAAAACCTTTTACAAGGTTTCTCTAGAGTAGCGGTTCTCAACCTGTGGGTCGCCAACCTGTGGGTCCCCACCCCTTTGGGGTCCGAACGACCCTTTCACAGCGGTCGCCTAAGACCATTGGAAAACACATATATAATTACCTATTGTTTTTGTGATTAATCACTATGCTTTAATTATGTTCAATTTGTAACAATGAAAATACATCCTGCATATCAGATATTTACATTACTATTCATAACAGTAGCAAAATTACAGTTATGAAGTAGCAACGAAAATTTTATGGTTGGGGGTCACCACAAGATGAGGAACTGTATTAAAGAGTCACGGCATCAGGAAGGTTGAGAACCACTGCTCTAGAGGTTTCTTGGCATTACTCTTTAACGTGTGTTTTATTATTGTTGTTGTTGTTGTTAATAACCTTCCAGAATCTCTTAGGAGTTTAGATACTAAAACCAACTTGGAGCTTCAAGTTTGTCTTCCTGTGTAATGTTACCTTGATGTGAAGTATTTTATTGTATCTCATATTTTTTTTAAAGTTCTGAATTCTTTGGCAGGTGAGAGATGCTGCAATATTGGCTATAGTGGAGATTTATAGACATGTGGGAGAGAAAGTAAGAATGGACCTTTCTAAGAGAGGAATTCCCCCTGCTAGGTAAGTCTTACTAAATTTTTGCCATTGATTTAAAAAGTTTTAATTTTATGTGTTGAGTTGGATTCAGAGTTGGAAATGTTTTAAAATTCAAAAGATACAAGAGGATATATAGGTTATCACCACTTAAAAAGTTCTTAGCCGTAGCTGACTTGGCTCAGTGGATAGAGCATCGGCTTGCAGACCAAAGGGTCCTGGGTTCAATTCCAGTCAAGATCACATGCCCGGGGTTGCAGGCTCAATCCCCACTAGGGGGTGTGCAGGAGGCAGCCAATCAATGATTCTCTCTCATCATTGATGTTTCTTTCTCTCTCTCTCTCTCTCCCTCTCCCTTCCTCTCTGAAATCAATAAAAATAAATATTTTTTAAAAAGTAATCTTTTTGGACACTGTTTCATTATATGCGCACATGTTATTTACTTATTTAGTGAGAGAAACATTGATTGGTTGCCACAACCCCTCCCCCCTGCCCTGTATGCTCCCCAACTGGGGATCGAACCCACAACCCAGGTGTGTGCCTGATTGGGAATCTAACCCACAAACTTTTGGTGTATGGGACAAGGTTCTAACCCACTGATCCCGCCCAGCCAGGGTGTAGGTAACTATCTTTTGGTACCAGGAAGTATGGTCATAATTTGGAAGATGGTTGGAGCAAGGATTTAGTAAAAATAGTAATCCATTCATTAATTATTTTTTGAGTACCTGCTGTTGAAAGGTACTGTACAAGATACTGGCTAACAGAAAACTGTATAAGAATCAATCATTACCCTTAAAACCTAGTGAAATAAAAAAGAAGATCCTGAATCAGTAGAGTAGCAGCAATCAGGTTAACAACATTCCTCTTGAGGAGCTTCCAGTGTATCAGAACTTTTTTTATTCAAAGGTACTTTTTTCTATACTACTTCTTAGAGTTTATATTTTTATTTAAGACATTATTCCAGTTAGATTTTCTTTGTGTAATGAAATTTTAGATTTCAAGAGAGGAAGGGAGAGGAAGAGAAAAAGAGAAACATCAATGAAGAGAGAAAATTATTGATTGACTGCCTCCTGCACGCCCCCTACTGGGGATCGAGCCCACAACCCTGGGCATGTGCCCTGAGTGGAATTGAACCCAGGACCCTTCAGTCCGAAGGCCAATGCTCTATCCACTGAGTGAAACCAGCTAGGGCTTACCTTTTTATTATGGAAAATTTCAAACATATTAAACAGAATAGTACAATGAACCTTCATGTAACCCCTGCCCAGTTTCAGCAGTTAACAACTGTGGCCAGTTTTATATGTTATACCCTTACCTACTTACTTTTGTACTGTATTATTTTGAAGTAAATCCAAGTCATCATAACATTTCCTCTGTAATTATCCTATATTAGAGACACTGCGCGAAATTCGTGCAAGGGGTTTGGCCCCTGCCCCTGCCACAGCTGCCTCTGCCTCGGCCCCCGCTGCCGTGGCTTCATCTGAAAGGTCATCAGGAAGGACATCCAGTCTAATTAGGATATTACGCTTTTATTTACTATAGATAATAAAAGGGGGAGCGCTGCTCAGGCAGCGCTAGCTCATGGCTGGCAAGCGCAGCGGTGGTGGTGGGGAGCATCTCCCGCCTCCGCTGCAGGCAGGCAGTAAAGAGCGAGGGGTCCCACACTGCGAGAGGGATGTCTGACTGCCAGCTTAGACCCACTCCCCATGGGGAGTGGGCCTAAGCTGCCAGGTGGACATCTCCCAAGGGGTCCCAGACTGTGAGAGGGTGCAGGTGGGGCTGAGGGACCCCCCACCCCCACCCCAGTGCCCGAATCTCATGCACTGGGCCTCTAGTTCAATATATTTCTTAAGGGGGAAAAATATTTTTTTCAATTACAACCACAATACTATCTTCAAACCTTAAATTTCTTTATAAATAATTCTGTATAATCAAATATGCAGTCAAGGTTCAAATTTCCAGTTGTCTTTCAAATGTCATAAGTATCTATGTATTTTTGGTAGTTTGTTTGAATCAGTATCAAAATAAAGTCCAACAGTTAGTTGATATGTTTTATGCCTTTTTAAATCTTCATGTAGACCCAACATTTATTTATTTATTTTTTTGTCTTGTATTTTATTTTATGAATATGTCTAATAGTTTATCTTATAAAGTTTCCCATATTCTAGGTATTGCTAATTCTTTTCCTGTGGTGCAGTTTAACATGGTCTTCTGTCTTTATATCCTGTAAATTGGTAGTTGGATCTGGAGACTTGATTAGTTTTTTGGGAGGGGGTATTAAGAGGAGCAAAACTATTTCATAGGTGGTGGTGTGTTTTGTTATCATAAATATTACATCTGGCTATCTTTTACTATGTAAGATTTTTTCAAGTGCTAATCTTTTGGTGATAAGGTTGTCCAATAAATAAGTATTTTGCTTACTTATTCACTAATTTGCTTTCTGCTTGTAGGGCTAACAAGAATTTCATTTGAATATATTCTATATTTTAAGTGGATGAAAGAAATCATATTACCACATATATTTATGTGTGAGAGTATATGTGGGGTGGAGCAGAAGTAGTTTTACTGTCATTCACATGGAAAAGAATACAATAATAAATAATATAAGAATAAACTATGTTTTGGGTACTCACAACTGTAAACCTACTTTTGCCCCACCCTATATATATATATGTATATATGTGTTATATACATATTATAGATAATTATGTATTTAAAATTTCTTATTGACATTATTTTTCTTTTATTTTAAATTTTTATTCAAATATGACATCCATACAGAAAAGTACATAAATCATAAGTATGAAGCTCTGTAAATTATCACAAAGTCAATTCACCCATGTATTCATCATGCAGGTGAAGAAGTAGAATATTATAACATTCCAGAGGCCTCCCCAAATCCATTTTAATCCTTCCCTTTTCTCTCCTTCTGAAAAGTAACTACAATTCTGACTTCTATTACCATAGTTCAGTTTTGCCCGTTTTTAAATTTTATATAAATGGAATCATATAGTGTATACTTTTTTATATCTGGCTCCTTTCGGTTAATATTATGGTTTTGTGGGGGTTTTTTTATTGTATTTTTTTATTGATTTCAGAGAGGAAGGGAGAGGGAGGGAGAGAGAAACATCAATGATGAAAGAGAATCATTGATTGGCTGCCTTCTGCACGCCCCACATTGGGGATCAAGCCCACAACCGGGGCATGTGCCCTGACCGGGAATCAAACTGTGACCTCCTGGTTCAGAGGTCAATGTTCAGCCACTGAGCCACCCAGCCAGGCAGTTAATAATTATGTTTTTAAGATACATTTGTATTGTTGTGTTCAGCTACAGTTGTTCATTTTCATTGCCTTATAGTTTTCCAGAATGTGAGTAGGCCATATTTGATTATTCCATACTGTTGATAGACTTTTGAGTTGTTTTTTAATTTGTAACTTTATGAATAATTCTGTTCAAAGCATTCTTACACGTTTCTTTTGGTGTATGAGTATATTCGTTCTCTTGGAATATATCTGAGTGGAATTGCTGGGCCATCTATAATAATAAAAGCGCAATATGCTAATTAGACCAGATGTCCTTCCGGACAAAGCTGCAGCAGGTGGTGGCTGGGGCTGGGGCCAAGGCTCTTGCATGAATTTCGTGCATTGGGCCTCTAATAGGGTATATTTACCTTTAGTTGATATTGACAGTTCTCCAGGGTGGTTGTACCTATTTATATTCTCACTAGCACTGTTTGCAAGTTGCCATTCTACATTTTCACTGATACTTGTTACTCTTATTAATTTAGGTTTCTGGTTCATATATCCTCATGTGGTTGTAATCTGCACTTTTCTGATTACTAATAAAGAAGAGCACCATTTCAAATTTATGAGTTATTTGGGTATGTTCTCGTAAAGTGTGTTTTCAGGTCTCTTGCCCATTTTAAAAAATTGGGTGGTCTGTCATTTTATTTTATTATTTTTTAAATATATTTTGTTGATTTCAGAGAAGGGAGAGAGAGATAAAAACATTAAGGATGAGAGAGAATCTTTGATTGACTGCCTCCTGCACCCCCCCTATTGGGGATCGAGTCTGCAACCCTAGCATGTGTCCTCTGATTGACTGCCTCCTGCACCCCCCCTATTGGGGCTCGAGCCTGCAACCCTGGCATGTGTCCTCACTGTAATCAAACCCTGACCTCCTGGTTCATAGGTCGACACTCGGTCCCTGAACCACGCAGGCCCGGCATGGGTGCTCTATCATTTTAAAAAATTGATTGGTAGGACTTTTTGAAATACATTCTAGATATAAGCCCATTGTTAGCTATATATATGTTTCAGATATATTCTCCTACCCTGTCACTTGCCATTTTAGATTCTTGATGTCTCTTGGTGTGACTAGGTCTTAATTTTAATGTAGTTCTCAGTCATTTCCTTTATGATTAAACACATTTTGTGTCTGGTTTAAAAAAATCTTTGCCTTCTCTGTCGTGAAGACATTCTCTGTGTAATTGTTTTGAAGTTTTATTTATAGTTAGGTTTATTGTACACATGGGATATTTTTTTAATGGTGTGAGAGATAGAGGTTCAGATACATTTTTTCCCCATATGGATATCCACTTGACCCAGTACCACTTATTAAAAACATTTTTATTCAATGTTTGTTTTGTTATAAATTAAGTGTCCACATATGTGCTTAGGATTTTTGCGTTATGCTCAAATAAAATTGGCCTACAATATTCCTTTCTTCTTAAGTTATATTAGTAATTTTAGCCTCATAGGGATTTTATCATATGTGGGTGGCTTATACTTTAATGTCCTTACTGAAATACACCAGCAACTTATTAATCCTATTTCTTCCTGTGACTTCTCTCCTAAGTGGCTAGCCACTTGGCAGATGAAGACTCTGAGACCCAGAGTAGTGACAGCTAGTTGGTGAGAAGCTGAAGGCTTCCTGACTCTCCGTTCATAGTTCTTTCCTCTGTGTTATGCTTGTGTCAGTCTCCTCTATGATGTTTCTCTAACTAGGTGCTAGAGGATGGGAAGGACTACATAGGTACAAGGCATGTACAATTGGATTTTTCAACCACGCAGTGTGTTTTCTACTCTTTTAGCACATGACCTCATTATTTATAGGTAGTATTTTGAGTCTTCAAAATACTGGACACATTTCTGATATGAATGAATTTTGCTTTACCCATTTCTTCAGATGATTGTTCCACTAACCATTGCCCTCTTTCATCTAGCATTTATTCGCAAGAATTCAGTATAGTCAATTCAATATAATAAATTCTGTGTGATATCCTGAATATTGTAATTGTTTGAAAATTAGATTATTTTTTTCATAGTGGTCATATTCTGCTCAGTGGAGCAGTCAGAACACACACAGCATTTATCTGTTAAGTTCCTTGTTTTGTATGGGCCCAGTTTGATTTCTCTGGTTTTATGTTTCCTTAACATGGTTCTATGTACTTTTTAAGGGTGTATTGGTGACTGAGTGGATTCATTATAAAGTTGGAACTGAAGTATTTTTGATGGGTTCGAGAAATAATTTTATGATGAAACATGGGAAACTGCTTTGTGTTAAAGTTACCATTTCACAAATATGCCTACAAGTGTGGAGAGTGCTATCTGTATTTGGCTGGTTCTGTCAACTGAAGAGAGATGGGTTTTGTCTTTCTTTTCAGTAAGTGAGTTCATTGTAAAAGAGAGTTGTATAGACCTAACTAAATCCCTGGAATTGTTTTTTTCTCAGGGAGATGGTGAAAGGAATTGTTCCTCATTAAAGTGTATGTAAAACAAACAAAATGTATTCTTTATTCCCAGATTAGAAATGATATTTGCCAAATTTGATGAAGTGCAAAATTCAGGCGGTATGATTTTGAGTGTCTGCAAAGGTAAGAATAATTAAATTTTTCTGGTTCTTAAACATTTCTAAGATTATTAACAAACTTTTAGACACTAAAATATGTTTTCAAGTCAACTGTTACATCAGATTTGATTTTTTGATTTAAAACTTAGGATATAATAATAAAATCTTTATATCCTGCTGACCATTTGCACTTACTTAGAATAAGTGAAAATTAATAATAGGTGTACTCATTTGTGCAAAATGATCCTGTTCTTTTGCTTATGTTTTGTATCTTCTGGGTTGAAGATATGGTGACCTTCTTGTCCTCTACGTTTCATGCATGGAATGTGTTTTTTATTCCCATAGTAACTGTTTTACTTTGTTGTTTTTAGTAGAAATTGTGGGGTTGATAGGCTCTATTACACCTATGTGTAGACTGCCAGTGATGACACTGGTGAAGAAACACAGACGTAGGAACTTTACCAACATAATTATCTTTGGCTTCTGAGTTAGAAGTTGATGTTAGTATGTGGCGTTTATTTGATTTTGTAGTTGCTCTACTTTTTGTAAGGATACTAAGTTGTATTTGGTTTTATTGGGTACCATTTACCTAGACTTCAGTCTTTAATTATTAATTAGCCTTATGTAAAGAATATATTCTATTTCAAAAGATAGTATAGATGGTTTTTCACCTAGGGAATTAAGTTCCTATTGAAGAGAGTGTGATTAACTTAGTACTATGTAAATGATGCTGGTGAAATAATTTGGTATATAAGTTATATAGTTAAATAATAGGAAAACTAGTTTCTGAAATAATTTAGTGGGGTTTTTCCCCTCTCTGGATTAAACCAAGATTGAGCCTTGTTTTGTTGCAAGAAGGCAGGTGGAGTGAGAAATTAGTGTTAAAAAGATTGTGTCTACCCTAATCTAAACTTAGTTCTAGAAGCATAAATTGACTTCAGCACTACTGGTACTTCCCCTGACTGCCAGCTGTTTATCACTCCTCTGAATAGAAGGTGTTTTAAGTGCCTTGTCCTTATTTCCTCAGCAGTTACCTCTGTCCATTTCCATAGAAACCAGAAACAGCAGGAAGATGAAGAGTTGTTAAAATTCCTTAAATTAAGAGTTGTGTTTTCATACCATTTACAGTGCATTCTCACTTGTGTATTCCAAACTTTGTAGTTACAACTCTAAGAAGAAGAGTGTAATGGATATTATAACCTTAAAATATTTATTATTTGGTATGGTTTATTTTGAAAGTACTGTATTGTGTTTTGTGAGGTTATTTTTGTTACTATCAAAATAGAAGATTATTTTATCCCCTATTCTTTAAGTTCTCATTTCTCTTGTTTATCTCTTCATAAACAAGGAGGTTTGGGGTTAGTGTCTACCACTTATTTCTCTTAGGGGAGCCTTCAGAGGTATTTTTGTATTGGAGGTTATGCTCTGAATATTGTAAATATGGTCAAATGTGAATGTTAAAATCTGTAATACATATACAGTATATTGGAGTATAGAAATTGGTCATGATGTTTTGTTTTGTTTTAAAAAACATTTTTTATTGATTTCAGAGAGGAGGGAGAGGGAGAGAAACATCAATGATGAGAGAAAACTATTGATGGGCTGCCTCTTGCACATTCCCCACTAGGGATTGTGCGTGCAACCTGGGCATGTGCCCTAACTGGAAATTGAACTGTGACCTCCAGGTTCATAGGTCAACGCTCAATCCCTGAGCCACACCAGCCAAGCAGCCATGATATTTTTGATGAAAATATTATGCTGTCATTGAAAAATACTTTAATGGATTTGTTAATAAGGGTGGAGACTAGTAGAGGGAAGCCTGTTTATCATGTTGACTACCCTCAACCCCCTCCTTTCCCTTGTCATTATTTTCTCTCAGTGACCTAATTTAGCCCAAAGGCTTTAAATGGTAACTATTTGCTGATGATTCTTAAATGTGTAGTTCTAGCCCTCATTCAGCCTATCCCTTATGCTCTAGATTTGGTAGCCTCTGGCATCTATGACATTTCCATTTGGATGCCTAATGAGCATCCCAGACTTAGCATGTCCAAAATTGAAACCCTGTTGTCTCTTCCTTTCCTTCAAATCTGTTCTTCCCTGCTTTACCCATTTCAGTCAGTGGTACCACTATCAGCTCAGGCTAGAAATCTGATTTGACCCCTAATTAGTCCTTTACTAATTAGTCTAGCTTAATTGGTCATTTCTTCCTCTGAAATATTGATATATCCCAAAAATTTTTTTTCATCTCCACTGCTAAAACCCCACTCTAACCTAACTGGAAATTGAACTGTGACCTCCAGGTGGTACAGTAGATAGTTTTTACCTAGATTATTACATGTTACAGTTCCATGTTTGCCCTCTGGAATCTTTTTTTTTACCCAGAAGTGAGAATGATCTTAAAATTAGATCATGTCACAGCAGTGCAGAAGACAGTTAAAGATGCTGCCTCAGCAAGCCTACATTCTAGTAAGGGAGAAGAGATCATAAACAAGGAACACATGGGAATCCAGAGTGAATACAGTTGGTGATGGACAAAATACAATTACCCTTTGTTTAATGAAATTAATTTAAATTATTCCTAAAATCCTTGCTGCCAAATCAAAAGCCATTAAATGAGAAAATTATTTCCACTAATAGTATATTTCATCTCAGTCCAGGATACTTGAATAATTGTCACAGGTAGCCAAATGTATCAAACACTGAAAACAAATTTTTATAAGTAACAAATTAAATGCAAAAAATAGTTTGTACCCAAAGAATGTAATGAAGGTTTATTCAACTCCTTTTTTATTTCTGCACAATTTTCCCCCACAACATTTTTAGCCCTTTATTGGCTCATTGTTATTGTGCACTCAAACTAAAACTGTAAACTAAAAGTAATAGAACAGGCCCTGACCCATGTGGCTCAGTTGGTTGGGTGTCATCTCGTGCACTGAAAGGTTGCTGGTTTGATTTCCCTCTCAGGGCACATACTCAGGTTGTGGGCTCCATCCCCAGTAGGGGGCATGCAGGAGGCAGCCAATCGATATTTCCTTCTCACATTGATGTTTCTCTCTCTCTCTCTCTCAAAAAAAACAACAACATCAATTAAAAAGTCTTTTTTGAGTCAAACACTTCTCCAAGGAGACCTGGTTCCTTTTATTGGAGAACTAGAGGCCCAGTGCATGAAATTCATGCACAGGTAGGGTCCCTAGGCCTGGCCGGTGATCAGGGCCAATCAAGGCCTTCCTTGGTTCCGCACCCCCCTCCCACCCTCCCCCCAGATGGTCAGCACACGTCATAGTGAGTGATTGGTCTCCTGGTTGAACTCCCATGGGGACAATTTGCATATTAGGTTTTTATATATAGATAGATAGATAGATTAATGCACATAATGGACTGAAGAGCCATTAAAGATACCACCTTTTCTTTCTCTCACTTTGTGTACATATGCAAAGCAAATTGTTGGGAGTTTACCCAAACATGGCATTTAATTCAGATTTGTTCCATATGATATTCTGTGACTAGAAACTATCATAGTAAGTAAACTTTTTTAGTATGCTTTTGTCTGAAACCATAATAATGAAACATCACACTTCTTATATTGACTTAGAGTATTTGTGAATGAAAAGTCTTTTTGCTAAATACAGACAAAAACAAAAACCAGAGGATTTGTTGTAAAGGTGGTAGGACTTTTTAAGAGTCATTATAGCTAAAAGCTGTCATCTTAAGTCATTAAATAAAGTGAATAGGATATGGAGTTGGTAATTAACTCAGTGATGCCACTTTAGAATAGTGGGGCAGATTTCTCTGAGAGTTGACACATTTGAATTGAGATCTGATAAAGGAGAACAAGCTAATTATGGCATAAATGATAGGAAAAGTGTTTGGGGCAGAGAAAATATGACCATAAAGACCCAGAGGTAGAAATGGACATAAGGGAGGTCAGGGTTGGCTAGAGCCCAGTGAGGCTAGGGAAGAGCTGGAAGAACATAAATTAAATTGTATCATCTAAGATTTGAGTATTTCATTTAGTTTAGAATTAGTGACAAATGCACAGCACTTTTTGTCTTGAGTGTGTTTCAAGTCTAAGTTTAATTCTTGTATTACAGAGTGTGAGTTAGGCAGAATCCCTAAGTGCAGTGGAATTAGCTCTGCTAGTAAAAGGAAACTGGATTTGAAATTAATCAGATTGTGATTGAAAGGAGGGGACACCAGCCCTGCCTGAAAGAAAAGACTGAAAGTTGCAGGCCACTATGATTATAACAGGCCCTGGTGTCGTCATGGAGCTTTCCAGACAGTCTCCTACGCTAATCAAGATGTAAACACCAACAGTGTTGGTTCTGACTGCAAATTTTTTTTCTCTTTCACTGTGAAAAAACTGAATAATTCTGATTTGTCTAGTGTATGTGTAGAAACGAATGCAGTCTAGGCATGTAATCATTGTAAAATATTTCCCAGCTTCTCTGTTTGAAACAATTGCTAGGAAAAGAATTGCTCTAGGAGGCTGGCTATAAAATAATGCATAGAAATTAGGATATCAAATTACCTTGATATTTGGCATATTAGAGGCAATAAGGTAACCTACAGTTTAGCTTTTTTAAATATATATACATATATATATGTGTATGTATGTATATATGTGTGCGTGTGTGTATGTGTGTATATATATGTATGTGTGTATATATATATATGTATATATATATATATGTTTATAACATACCCTTTGGCGAAAAGCAAAGCACCTCTTATGTTGATTTTTAAAGGTACCGTATCTGTTTGTGACCATGAGCCCCAGGGCTTTCTCTGAGCTTGACATTGTGCTGATGGTTGTGCAGTTTGGATGAAGGGTGCTCCGTGTCCCTGCAGCTGCGCACTGGCGAGCTTCTGTCTCCACCAGAAGCAAGCTTTGTTCTGCGTGGCCCTGCTGTCCACACACAGAACAGCCTTTGATGGGCTGCCTTTGACGTGATTTGTTTACGGCAGCCAGAAATGCTTCCTGCATAATGAGAGCAGTTAATCATGGAAACTGGACTATTCCTGTTG